GAACAGGGTGGCTCTCAACCAAACAAGAAGAAAAACCATTTAGGAAATGAAATTCAGCCCAGAAATTCAGCAGAGAAAACCAGCTGACTCAAAGCCGAGGCAGTTCAGTGCCTGAGCATTGCAGTTGGGTTTAAGAAACAGCAGATGGCCAGCCAGATATTAAATGAAAACAAGTCCCGCCTCAGTGTGGTTTTCAAGCTCTTTTATCTGTCTGTCTGTCTCTCGAGCTCCTGAGCTCAGCAGTTGCTCTGAGTCTCTCACTGGCCACAAATGAAAGCTCCCTGAAGAACCAGACCAAAGCTGGTGTGGGCAGGATCGGCTCCCCGTTTTCTCTGAAGGTCTACCCTGATTCTTTCTTTTCCCATGGGAGCTCCTATTTTCCCAGATGCAAGTGGTCCCTTGGGCTTCCTAGGTGCTCAGCTTCCTTAGTTCCCAGTACCAGCCAAGGAGCCAGGCAGCAAATCTGGGTGGTGGGGAGAAGGCTGTGGGCACATTTTTCCCACCATCACATTTGTTTCCATGGTAGCATTTCATGTTGACATGTTTATGGGTGTGCAACGATTTAATAAAAACAAGGCATACCATGCCGTAGCCAATTTAATCTATGTGAATCCCTCCATTCTTGATTATTCAATATGAAGATATTTTAAGAAACTTCTACATACCCACTTATTTAACAGTACCTCTACAAAAGCAAATTTTCTGCTTTTTCACCAAAGACCTGCAATGAAGACCAAAAACTGAAGCTGGGCCTATTTTTACCTTATCCAAATCATGAATTCAAATGAACTCAGTTAAAAGAGGTTATTTGGCAACTGAGCCTGTAATAAAACCCAATGAAGAATATTAGATGTTGGAAGGTATCGACATGCGTATTTGATATGAGCCACTATTTATAATGGTTATTCATGATCCTATATAACATTTAAAAGTTATTTCTCCAATATTCATGGTGCTTAAAATTTTTTTATTTTTGTAATAAAAAGAATGATATGGATTTTGTATAGTTTGCAGGAAAAATGTTTTAGAAGCTTCAGAAATAAAATTGACCTTGTAGAAACATAGTGGGTTCTTTTGTTTGTTTGTTTCTTTTCCCAATAGTTCATTCATTTCAAATGTATCACTACAGATGTATTTTCCTGGTCCAATATGTCACTGCTGCCCGAGGTCTCAGGAGAGGGTGGGTTGACATTAAAGACACATTAAAGTCAATTTTATTTACCACTGATTATTTGAGGGTGTATATTATTCTTTAAGGAAATAAATATCAAAAAGTTGATTTTTAAAGTTAACATTGTCATGGACATATCAAGCTTTTCTAGAAAAGCTTAATTAGAGTGCTCACACTAATTTGGGGTTCTGCTTTGCCTTGCTGTATAATATTGTGTTTTAAGGATGTTATTAGGACGAGCCCCGTGGTGGAGTGGTTAAGTTCGTGTGCTCTGCTTTGGCAGCCCGGGGTTTCACCGGTTCAAATCCTGGGCGCAGACCCAGCACCACTCATCAGGCCATGCTGAGGTGGCATCCCACATAGCACAACCAGAAGAATCTACAACTAGAATATACAACTATATACTGGGGGGCTTTGGGGAGAAAAAGAAGAAAAAAAAAAGAGGAACATTGGTAAGAGATGTTAGCTTAGGCACCAACTAAAAAAAAAAAAAGAATGCTATTAAAGCATTAGACACTTGAAAATGTTTTTTCCAGGATATAATGAGAATTAACACCTTCCCCCAACTGTTGCCCATTGTCCCAAGATTTGAAATTTTTTCTTTTATGCTGATTTTTAAAAACTAAATCAACTTTATTGAGGCATACTTTACACGTAACAAAATGCACCCATTTTGAGTGTGCAATTTGATGAGTTTTGGGCAAATGTATAGACTTTGTTTTACTGTGACTGTGTTGTTACTATTGCATTGCTCAGTCAAGATACAGAACACTTCCATCTACCTGAAAGTTTCTTTCCCGCCCCTTCCCAGTCACTCATCTTCTAGCCAGTTGCTCTGTTTTGAGAAGAAAATTTTAAAAAGCTTTCTTTTCTTTCCTCTTCTATTGCCCTGCTCCAACACAATTATGTCTCTTTCTCTCTTTCTCCCGTTCTTGTTGTTTCAGCAGCCTGGCAATTTGTTGGGTTAAAGCACTGAGCTGCTTATTGGCTCTACTGAGTAGGGAGAGGGCAACATGCCTCATTATTTTTCTATTCTCTCTTAGTGACCTCTCACTGCTCTGCCTCTGAAATCCCCATCCTCCCACCCACCCATCCATCCATCCATCTACCCACCCATCTATCCATCCACCCATCTGTCCATCATCCATCCCTCCATCTTTTGTTGATTTCTACAATGAGCCACAGGCCACAGGAATCCTGCCTTCACTTGACTTATGTTCTAACAGGGAACACAAACAATTTAACAATTATGCTAAAAAGGCAATAATATAAAAAAATAAGTAAATAAAAAGGCAATGGGGAAGTATGGGATACAATGGGAGATTCAGCAGGACTAGCTAAGAATGATTCTCAGGGAAAAGAGACATTAATGATGGAGACCTGTCTGACAAATATCAATGAGTCAGTTAATTATTTCAGTAACATTTATTGAAGGCAGCAGGCTGGGCACAGTGGTGGCTGCAAGTGATCCAGACAAATCTGAGTAGGACAGATGTGGGACTGCTCTCATGGAGTGCATATCATTGTGGAGTTAGCCTAGGCTGGGCTGGGGCAGTGGGATAATGTTCTAGACAGAGAGAACATGCATAATGGTGCATAGGGAAGACAACATGGTGAGTTGTCTGAAAATTCCACTGATCAGAGTATCAATGTCAGCCAGGAGCAGTGGCCTGATGGCCTTGAAAGAGCGAGCTGTGACCTGGGGCTATAGCAATCCTTGGCTCCCATTTGCTGTGTAGCATCGTCATGAAGCCCTAATCAGAATCTCACAAGAAAAAGAAATGTCGAATATAGATACCACATCTCAATCACTTGCAAATAATTTCCTTCTGTCTCTCATAAACATAGCCATGATTAAAATGACCTTTCACGAACAGCAGGGAGGGACTGCTGGAGAAAATGAGGTATGCGAGAACAAAATCCATCTACCTGATTGCTATGTAACTTTTGGTGAGTCACAAGAGTGAGAATTTCAGATGTGAATTAAAGATTGCCAAGAGTGGTGGCATGCTGGAAAAAATTCCTGACATGTCCTACTTTAGAATCAAAATACCAGAGAATTGGGGAAGAAAGAATATATTTTTTTCCTTATGTTCTAACTTCTTCCCAAATAATTTTAAGGAAATTATTTACGCAGTTTCCCTCCGAATTGTTGCTCTTTAGGTGAATGTTACTTGATAGGCACTTATATTGAGGCAAACATTCCCTGGGGTTCTGCAAAAGCCGTAAAGGATGACAGACCCCAGCTGCCGATTCATTTTTGATGATAACATGTCCATATAGTGTATTGAATCCTTTGCAATTTGGTATTTGATAAAACCTATTTACTTTGTAGTGAGTTCTGTATATTCTACCTAAAGTTAAAGCTTTCTGAAAACCCAAGTCTTCTGTGGGCACTAATTCACACAGTGTTCTGGAAATGTAAAATCTTAAATGGTCGCTGACTGCAAATCAATGTTAATAACCCAAGTATTAACAGCTGCGTGAAATGTTATGCTTCTTTCATCATTTACTACCCTTCACTAGGATGTAGCATACATTTCGGAGGGGCTGATTTTCTTTTCTTGGATGGCCCTAAGCTACTTACCATCAGATCAGAAATACAGACTATCAAATCTATTTAAGGAACGCAGTCAATCAATGACAAAGGGTGTGTTTTGCGGGATGCCACCCACTTTGCGTCTGTCAGTTTGCATTTTACCGAGTCTTCACACAAGCAGGGCCAGACAAAGAAATGCGGAGTCCTGGGCACATTCATGATTGGGGGCCCTTCATATCCATCAGCCTGGTAACCAGCAACCGCAGGCATTATTGGTTTCAGAATTTCAGCTGAGGCTGCCCCACGTACCTGCCACAGAACTACTCATCAGACATCATCCTTCATGAGTGAGGATGTTGGCTGACTTGCGAATTCTGCTCCAGGATCTCTTGGCTTCCCCGGCAGTGGGACCATCCACTTACATTTCCCCAGTTGTGTAAGCGGACCTGCTGGACGTCTGAGTTAACTGACAACACATTTTGGCTTCGCTCCAGCGTTATTTATGAAGCAGGATCCTGGGCTGGCGCACATCTCAACCCAGCTCTGTTCATCCGTGGGCTCCTAGAGATTTCAAATGATAAATGACAGCTCCCCTCCCCCACTAAGTGGTCAATTAGTGAATCTGCTCACTAATCAGATTCAACCAACCTGACGGAAATGTGGATTCCCAACAGGTTTCAATTTCAAACATATATGGCTTTGAAATATGTAAATGCTCTTGGGAAATGACAGGATGAGGCTATTCATAAAAGGAAACAAGAGAAGCATGTGAATTTTCATGGAAAAATGCCGAATGTTAATCTTGATCCAGATGAATGTCATTTGCTAGTGTTCAGCAAATACATACTGGGTTATTTACACCTTGCACACAGGAAGCTGATGACCCTTTGTAACAAGAATTCCAGGGAAAAGGCTGCCTGAGATTCAACCAGAAGGCTAGAGATGGACTTTCTGAACATAACTGGCCTTTGGGATTTCGTACCTTCTGTGGACTGCTTTCCTAACAGGAAGGAGAACTCCTCAAATTAACAATCATAAACACTGTTTAGTGGAGCCGTTAGTTTTCATCATAGTATCATCTCCCTAGACAAAGGAAATACTCAAACTTCCAATTTCATCCTTTTTCCCCTTTATGAGGTGACGTACTGTTAGTGTGGCTGACCCTCCGTGAACCATAACAAAGGATCAGCAGTTTCTATGCTCAAACTGAAGACGGGATGTGTCCTTCTGACAGTGCAGAATTCAAAGGGCTCGCAGACCGATCATTAGAAATAAAACGACAAACATAACTTTTCCGTAAAGAGCATATCGTGTCGATTTATTATAGAATGCGGTTAAAAAAAAATATTTTGAGGTTAGCCTCTCCAGTTTAAAAGCACGTCACTAGGAACACTTGACAGCTATGCAATGGTCTCTCCCTCACCTGCCCCACCCAACCTGCCAAGTTCTGTAAACAGGGTTCTGAGAACATTCTGTCAATTTCTTGACATGAACCACCAAATGTATTTGCTTCTTAAAGAAAACCATCTTCGGAATTTCCAAAGCATGCACTGTTAGCTCGGCATTAGGTATTTCCAAAGGACAAATTTTGTTATGGTATCATAAGGCCAAAATATAATACCTATTTACCAGACATACACATTACAACTAGAAAAACATTACAAACGTTAACCTAGTGTAACAATTCCATCAGGAATTAATGGGAAAAGGCACTGCATCTCTCTCATGTCACCACACATCAACTACCCACTTCACACGCCTTGAATTCGAGTCCTGCCCAACGCTGTGACAGCATTTTCTACAACATACAATTCACAGTGGGTTAATACGTCTTACACTGTTTTCCCACTCCCAGATTCTTCACCCAAGTGCACAACAGGTATGAATATATGCTATCAGCTGTATTTACAAGTTTATCTTGATGTTTTAGTGGGGTAAAAAATCAACTATGTCACCCGACAGCTCTCCTAAAAGGCTTTTGGCTATGACTCATGGAGATAAACCACCACACGAAAGAAATCAATGAAACCGATGTCCTACCCAAAACACCTAAACTAAAATTTCTTATCCACAAAAAATTGGCAGTGAAACTGCGGTTCTCTGAATATTATAAGCGAAACTCTACACAGGAATTTCAGATCGACTTCTTTTGCCAAAGCACTGAGTTGTAAGTTGCTTCGGACAGGGTGCTGAGTGAGTGAGTTCCGTAGAATTCCACGTGTGAGCGCTGTTGCAAAGAGAGTCACGAATCTGGAGAGGTGACAGATTTTTCAAATGCTTTCCTAGCTTCCCAAAAGATGTAAAACAACAATGGCGGAACTCTATATACGAACAAAGGTTAGTCATGAAAATCAGTAATATACATGCACAAACATTAGAACATGAGAGGAAGAAAGGAAACACTACAATTCCCACATTGTATGGTTGTTGTTTTCGCAACCTTTCCGCACCAGACACTCCGTGGCTTCACGCAGTGCCTTGTCCTACCAGTAGAGATAGTCTACCCCGTGGGCTGGTTAGAAACAGAAGGCTCTCCCCGGACCCATTATCAACCTGCCCTTGGCAAAAACAGAACCTACTAGAAAAGAACAAGTACAAAACACTATCGTTATCAGTTTTCTCGAGACGTTCCCAAATGTCCTTGTGCGATCACCCCAGACTCAGTGATTGGCCCAGGACATTCCTGGGAGCCATGAACACTGACTGACGCGCAGCACTAGAACCAGGAGACAAAGCCTTGCCTCTCTCCTGAGCAACATGAACTGGAATTTCTGCCACCGTGATCACGGCTGCCACCTCCAAAGTTGTGACCGGCCACTTCCACAGTAAAAGATTCCTCCCCATTGAGTATGACTTGGATTACTTCTGCGTCCCGGTGCCTGTTCAGCTTAAGTGGATGGGCGTGTACTCCGGCCTTCGGGTCTGGATAATTTTTGGTTTGGGTCTCTTCATTCTTTCCATCTCGTCTTCTTCCTCGTTCTCCTGGTCGCTCTCGCATACGTGGACGACCACGCTGGGAGTGGTGTCGGTCGCTGCGTGCAATTCATACTTTTCCCCTGGGGAAAGAAAACGATTGCGGGGTAACTCAGGGAAGTCACTGACAGCCAATGGGCAACAGTAACTGGAATAGCAGTAGGGGTCTGTGGACATTCAGTGGGGACTGAGGGACATGGCCGGTATGCTCTGGATTAGTGTTTCTTTGCTGGTTCATCCAGGAAAAAAATATATATACACAGACACACACAGTCATGCACCGCCTAATGACATTTCGATCAATGACGGACCGCATACATGACAGTGGTCCCGTAGGATCAGTACCATATAGCCTAGGTGTGTAGTAGGCTATCCCACCTAGGTTTGTGTAAGTGCGCTCTATGATGTTCACACCACAACGAGATTGTCTAAGGTCGCATTTCTCAGAATGCGTCTCCATCATTAAGTGCCATATGACTGTAATATACAATATCATCATTGCATATTACTCTGCTTTCAGTCAAATACTCTGAGTCCAGGAAGATGAAAGGTACAGAAAGAATGTGTTTTCCAATTACACTTAACATGTCCACCAGGTCTCCTAAAACACCCAGAGGACCCCCCCCCCCCCCCCCCCCACAGCGTGGTGTGAGGAGTATCTGTTCAGGAAAAGATGCCACATGAATAAATGTGTCAGGACAGGACAGAGTGAGCCTCCCTCCACAGAGCACCCCGGGGGACAGGAGGCTCAAGGAGGGCCTGCATGAAGACACAAGGGTGGCTGGTTGAACCAGGGGCTCCCAAAACATTTTCAACCACGGCATCCTTTTTCAAACGACAGCTATCAACCCCCTGGAACCAGGAGTGTCCTGCTGCTCTGGGTCAGCCTTAGTTTTCCAGTTCAGTCAAGTTCAGGCCACTCTGGTCCAGCAAGGGCTGGGGGAGCTTTCTTCAGCAGCCAAGCCCTGGCAGCGCTCTATGGCGCCGGTCTGGCCACAGAAGAGTCTGCATCTTGGGAGCTGAGGAAGGCAGCGCAGCACAGAGGTCAGCACTTGGCCTGTGAGTGCTGCCGCTTAGTACCCGGTGCTCATGGGCATGTCCCTTCACCCCCCTGTGCACCTCAGACTCCTCCTCTGTAAAATGGGATAATAAAGGCATTGATCTCAGGGAGCTGATTACATGAGTGAATGCAGGCAAAGCACTGGTACCTGGTACACGGTACCCATTCCCCATAAGTGTCACCTCGTTTCATTATGTTGAAAAATGGAACGTGAATGGTTACTGGTGGAAAGCTGGGAGTAGCAGAAATGCTGGGGATTTCAGATAGGGGTGCGGTGGGGAGGGAGGCAGCTTGCTTCAGTTTGCTCTACCTCTCAGTTGCGGGGGAGCCTGGGGTGGGTTTTCCTCCAAGTTCTCTTCCTGCCTGACTGGATTAGAAGGGCAGCTAAGCAGGGCTTCCTGCCTCACCCCGCTCTGGCAACTCCTCTGAACACAGAATGCGCTGTGACTCATAAAAAAGGTGGTTCCCTTCCCTCTATCCCACAGGGGAGACTGGACTGTCATCATGATTGCCTTTGAGAAGGTGAAGGCGCCTCTGCTCTCTCCTGGCAAGAATTAAGGTGGAGGGTCAGAGTCCCCCTGGGTCAGGAGGCTCTTGACAAATCCTTATCTAGCTCCCCATCAATCATAGTCCGGAAAGCTTGGCGTAGGACTGTATGTGCAATCTTGTTGGGGGCAAAGTAAAGCTGAGATAAGAAATATTATTCAAGCTCATTGTTAAGTAAACTAAGGGGCCAATGGACATTATGTCCATTTTCTATAAAGCCTTCTCAAATAAGCCTTCTGGAAGGGAGTGGTACATTCTGGAGAGTGAGGAATTCTCCTTAGCATCTCTCCTTGCCTCTGGAGCAGTGTGACACCTCTCTGCAGGTGGAGATTTTGTTTCTCCCTCCTCTAACATCACAGCAGGTTCCAACCCTCAGCTGTGGGGATGCGCCTGGGCCAGGAGCTGCCCGGAGAAGCACACGCTTGCTCAGACCAGCCATTTTCCATCCTGACCTTCACGCCAGGATGAGCAGTAAGTAACGTGATCCTTGCTTCTTACCACACGGGGGATTTCCGTCGGGCCATGTTTTCAGAAATGTGATCTTTTCAATACGAAACTGCTGATGGTCCAAGAAAATAAAACTCTCAACCCAAAGGAACATCGGACTGCTGGTCAAGGAGAAAGCTGATGGTCTCAGCACTTACTGCGTTTGCTCCAAAGATGGGGCAGGAGTGGGGCTCAAACATCTGTACCCCAAGACCCTCTTGTACCCACCTCTCATCCAAACCCTATCAGAGAGGACAGGGGTCACTAACATTTTATTGTTTTCAAAAAACATGCATTGAGTGCTGCCTATGAGCCAGATACTGTTTAAAGTGCTTTCTCCACAATGGTCTCCTCTCCCGGTCACTCCACTGGGTAACACCCATTTTACAGATGAGGAGCCTGAGCCAGAGTACCTGTCTCCCTTCATCCCTGCAGAGGACTGGAGCCTCCCCCTGCCGGGGGAGCACCCGTATGGGGCCAAGTCAGGGCATGCAAGACTGGGGCTCTTTCTTACGACAACTGATGGTTCTCTGTTCCCTCACACATTCAAAAGGGCAGGCGAGAATGAGATGAGCGGTCAAAATTACCTTCCACTACAATGAAATTCCTAAAAGGGAGGGGTCTGTTTTGCCTCTCCAAAGTCCACCTGCTCATCCCCACTTGGAGCGACAGGACGTGGGGCCAGGTCTTGAGCCACCCAGATGAGGTGTGCTCAGTGGGTGAGGGGACGGATTCAGGTGACGCCGAGTGGGAGGGTCACGGTGCTTGGTCCCCATGGCCAGCTACAGTCCCTCTTGTACACCTTCCTAAGGAATGAGGCCCGAGGCAGGCACGCAGGCTCCCAGCGTGAGTTACAGTGATGAGGAAGAATGCAAATAGAGAAGATTCACAACGCCACTGGCATCCATCACACGGAAAGTTGAAAAGGCAATGGGGCCGCCACTGCTCCCTGCTGTGGGGGAGCATCTGTGTCTCGGACCTGGAGCGCAATCTCTCCACATCTCCTTGCCCTGCTCCCCCCGGAGAGCACCGCTTACCTGGCCCTAGCTTGGAGATAGCGTATAAAAGATCATAATTTATGACAGGAGTGGCGTCTTCCACTTGTTTCCAACCGACCGGGGGAGAGGCAGGAGGAGAGATCAGAAACTGCTTGTCTGGATTCGGTGGAGCCAGGTGTGAACTTCCTATGTGTAAAGTCTGAGGAGAGAAATAAATACAGGCGGATGTTTCTCGAGGGAAGAACTGAAGAAATGCAGCAGCACTGAACGACAGCTTACGGAAGACAGGCGGGAGGGGACGAGCCACGTGGGGGCAGCAGGACCGGGCAGTTCAGGGACAAATGGTAACAGGGTCCATGAGTGGAGGGGGAGGGAAGAACTCTGGTTTTAGTGCAAACGTGATTAGAAGCCCCTCCCAGCCTGGGACTCCAAGCACGGGGACTGCAAGTAACTATGCTTGACCCAGACTGAGGGAAGATCAACAGAAATGGTTTTCCTAGAAATGGAAAAAATAAAGCCACTGTCGTCCAGGTCAGAAGGGATCTCAGAATCTATTTCTTCTAGCTCCTCATATCACAAAAGTGCAGCTGAAGCTCCAACAGGCTAAGCAACATCTCTAGGATTATACAGTTGTTTAGGGGATTTTCAGAATGAACAGGCATTTACTTTAATAATCAGAAAAAGTCATGGAGGGACCAAGTCTTTACTTACATGGAACCCCAGAAATGCACAAAGGAGTGAGCTCAGCACTAAGGATCCAAGGCCAAGGCTTTGCCTCACATCCACTACCAGGGGGCAGGGCGGGCAACTTCGTTTTCTCGGGCTGGAGCCTTTCTGCAGGGTCTGCTTCCAAACTGGTGTGGAACTCAGAGCCCCCACAGGGGACTGGGGTTCACATTAACCAGGGAGCAGAATCTGAGAGAAGCTTCTTCCCCCTCCCCACTGCCAACCTGTTCGACCCCTGTTACATCATCAAATGGAACTTTGTGAGCTGCCTGGAAGGTGGGTCACCTATCATGGAGGGTCCCCAAGAGGAGAGCTGGAAGGGTGGTGAGCAAGAGAAAAAGCAAACCCACTCACAGCATCGCCTGAGTGCCCTGGGGCTGGGACCCCTCTACCAGGAGGAAGTCTTAGTCTTGGCTACATGTCTGGTCAACTCATTTTTTTCCTTCAAGCCGGGCCTGGCAGCCCTGTGTTGATGTGCATCCTGCTGGCAGACTACAAGTTCTCCACTTAGAGAGGAGGCTGCTGAGAACCTGCACAGAGCCAGGAGCCAGTCTGGTCTGCTCTGGGTCTGGAGCAAGTCATTAGCCCTGATCCTTGAGCCAATTCATGAAAACTTGCTACACAGATCCTGGGGTTCTGGGGAAGCCGTGCCCACAACACTGCCCTCTACCAGCTCGTTCTTCCTTCCATCATCACTCAACCCAAGGAGGTCAGGAACCATTTCTGAGAGAGCTTTCAAATACACACTGATGTTTTCTTAAAATAGGGCAGACAAGGAAAATTTGGAGTATGAACTTTGCCCTTCTCAAGATGAACTCTTGGAGTCTTAAATCAACTCAATCGATGTACAAGCTATTTTTAGAAGGAGTGAGTGGGAGGATTGATGAACTCGACTGACCTGAGCAAAATATAATTTCATTTCCTTCCCGAGAAATTCAGTCTTATGTAGCTGGAGTCTCGCGTCGGCTGCGGATAAGGGGTTGCTGAAGTTTATTCGGACTCGTTTGAAGCTCTTAAAATATTGAAAGGTGATATCCTTGTCATATGTCTTGAAGAGGGATTCAAATTTGGCCTGAAAAATAAAATGAAAGGAGTTAAAATTTACCAGCATATGACCCTTGATTAGACAACCAATTACATTTCTTATTGAGCAATGGAATTAGTAATTACTAGTAATTATAATACCGATAATTATTAGTATCATTTCAAGAACTCCTAACTTCTTTCTTCCAGAAGACAAAACTCAACTTTCCCCTCTGAGCGATTGTGCCCTTTTAATTCTAATACAGGTGATTTTATACGAAAGTAAGGATGTATACGATTTACTAACTTCATTTATTCAGCAGAACACTTACTAATACTTAAATACTTGTTATAGTCACAGAAACCTTCCTTTTAAAGTAGAATGAGCATTTTCGAAAGAGGACCAGCTTGGTAATTTGCCACCCCTCTGGCCTGACAGTTCCTGTATCCGGTGACCTTTGGCCATCCCCCACTCAGCTGAGGGCTTTGCTGTGTGCATCAAATACTTCTTTAGGGCTTAAAAGCGCTAGAACTAATTTGAAAAACCCATTTTTATTGAACTGGAAAAGAAGTTAATAAAAAGCCTTACATTCTTAACGTAAAGGAAGTGGGTTTAAAAAAAATTCCCACTATTGTTTTCCCACTCAATCTGTTACTTTTTAACTCTCTAAAAATAATACTGGTTTAAAAAGATGAGAGGACTGCCAATGGAGCTGTTTCTGCAGGCTGGCTTGAACATATATACATCTCTAGCTCTAATGTTATAAGGGCTGGTGAAAATTCTGAAACAGCAGGAGCTCTTAGAATTGAAATGCCCGAGGTCAATGGTTACTAGCTTAGATTCAGGAAAGAGCTCATCAGCCTCCTGGGAAAAGCTCTGGGGGACGCCCCCTTGGTGGGTCCAGGGGTGGAGGTGTTGGTGGGGGGAGCTGGGAGGCCGCTGCAATCCTTCAGCATTCCAACCAGAGAGCAATGGGCAGTTGAAACTGAGGAAGATTACATGGACTTAGTTGTTGTGTTTTACGAGTCTTTTATTCCAGACTAAACACTGAGGAAAGTTTGGGAACCCCTGTGAAAGGCAGAAGGGGGTGTCTGAGAGTTGGGATGGGGCAGCATGACATTTACACAGGTGACTGGTGCAGAAGAGGAGGCGGGGACCACAAAGTACCGTGGAAACTGATGGAAAGCACAGGACTTCTGCAGAGGAGAGAGAGGATTCTGAATAGAGAAGAGAACGTCTTCAAGAATACTCAGCGATAGAAAGAGGAGGAGCGAAGAGGCCACCCTGGACCACGTGCTCGCTCCACATGGCAGGGCTGCCAGCAGGTCTGGTGGTGTCTCCAAGAGGCAGGTTGTTAACGGGGAGTGGGAACAACCCACAACTTTCTCTCTGCAAATTCCTTGGCTTTTCTTTAGTTTCTAGAAATTTCTGTGACTTTCCCGTGAGGGGTTTCACAGAGGCAAAGAATGAGAAAGAAAGCAGAGCAGATGCTTCGCATGGGATTTCATCTGGCTGCCTCTGACTTTTTTCCCCACCTCTCTGTGCATGGGCAAATTTCTGGCATATGGATGTCTGTGTAAATTTGGAATTTCGCATGACCTCATCGATGGGCATTGTGACCAACTGTGTAGTTTTGAAGCTATGATTCATAATTTAGGTGAGATGACTTTCGTGAATATTTTTAGAATACAAATCAAGGCTTAGGACAAGAACACAACAGAACTCACGTTATCTGTTAAGGCCATGATACTATTATACCATTCTCTTACAAAATAATCTAATTTGTTCTGATAACTGATATCTAGTTATTACAGTTGTTGGATAGAATCTCTACTTAATTAAATAAACAAAATAGTGATTTTACTCACATAAGGCTAATACTAAATACACAGACTTTATACTTCTACATATAGAATGTGCTCTAATATTTAGTTCAAAAACTGCAGTCCTGGCTCACAAGCATAGTACACAATTACGGAGTTAAATTGGACTTAAAAAAAAAAAAGAAGAAAACTTCATATGTCCCAATACAGCTTTGGGTATAAAGCATGTAACACAAACACCCCCCCCCCCCCCAACAGAACATACAGAATTCATCCATATACAATATTGTTAAAGATCATTTAGATAGCTGGGTAGCTATTGATGAAAATCTTGCATTTTAATCAAATGAAGAAGCAAAGCATAATAATTAAAATTACTAATTACATTAATTACCATCAATGAGAGCTGCTTTCCAGGAGGTATGCTTACCCCACACTTAAGTTATTTATGCAGTTTTGTTATTTGCCACGACTGCATTTTCTCTAGCTAGAGAAATCTAGAAACTCGAGGACAGACCCTTGTAATTACTGCAAACATATAAATGTCTTTACAATATTTATTTCCTAAGATAAAATCAAATATTCTGAATTCTAGACGTCAAAGTGAAACATCCTGTTCATCACCAGAAAAGACCTCCCTCCAAGAAATTTACTTACAAACCTGCACAGAATGAAAAACACACGATGCCCAAACTCTGCCTTCCTAGTTGGTCAGGGGACCTGGATGTTTTCAAATATTGAGAGCTTTAAAAATTCCTTCCTAGTTAATTCCTCAGGCGACAGCTTTTGATTTTTAAGGCTCAAAGTAATTTGGATTTATTTCAACACCCCTAAACCCACAAGAGAGCCAAAAACCACCCCCCCAAATATTTCAGTTAATAGTCCCAATTAACATAATGCTTTGAAAACTCTCAGAAATCACATTATATTAGAAGCCTTACCCTGGTTTCACTTTCGCTGAAGATATCACTGTTTGCCACACAGGCAATCAGGGAGCTAAAACTGTAGTTAAAGTTTCTAAAATGCATCTTGCTTTCTTTACAGTGAAAGCGCTAGAGACGCACACAGCCGAGCTCCAAGTGGGGTTCCTGTACAAGAGGCTGTGGGTTCTTTCTGGAGCCAGCGCTTATAAAGCACCGAGGTCCAGCCCCCTGGGAACAAAAGCGCAGCTTCTAGAGCATCCTGTTTGGACAGCAAATTCCTGAGTCAAGTCCTGCATGCTTGCTGGCAGACAGGGACGGAGTGTAAGTTTCTACTGGAAAGAGATGACGTCAACACCTTAGTCATTTTCCCTATGCTAATTAACTTTGCTTGGGGAGGATGGAAAAAACAGCCAAGGTTTGCTCTGCAGCTGCTTTATCGACCCCTGTTGCAGCATAGTTTCCACTGGTAGTAATTCCATTCAGCCACTCAGACACCACGCCGCTCAGCTGAATGGGACAACCGTCTTAAGATGGAAAATGTTACGGAAGAAAAAGGAGGAAGATCTACGGCAGTAAACAGCAATTAGCCTCCAGGGAAGTTTCAAGGCTTTGGGAAACCTGGAAACCAAAGTCTTGGTGAGTTCTTTGATCCCTGTAATTTCCTGAAAGCCTCAATCAAAGTTTCATATTGGGGTGTTAGAGAAAACATTTTGAAATCTGTCTTGGTCAATGAACTCTGTTTCTAAAGAAGAAAAGTGGAATTCATTGTGAAATACGGGACTTTTCCCCCCCAATTTAACTTTATTGGATGAAGGTCCTAATTCCCACTTGTATTCCACAGTGAAAATGTGGGAAGAGATCCTCAAGCCATCCTAGGATTTTCATTGGAAAACTTTATTATTGTAATTTGAGAACTAGGAATATGCAACACTTTGATCATTTTCTAACAGCTACTGAATTCAGAAAAAGATACAGAAACAGTTTAGAGAATCTAGTCTCTGAAGTTGAGAAAAGAAACAGTAAGAGGTTGCCCTGCTTTGATACTCACAAACTGATTTTTTTTTTTTAAGTAGGAAAGGAAGAAGAAATAGAAAGAATGTACACTACAATTGAAAAGTTAATTCAGCTGGCCTTTCTTCAGGTACACGTCTGGTTTGGAGAAACATACTGGGATGGCAGGAGGCCAGTTCTTTCAAAAGGCTGCAACTCTTTGAACCTTTTTTTTTTTCTGGTGAGGAAGATTGGCCCTGAGCTAACACCTGTGCCAATTTTCTATTTCGCATGTGGGATGCTGCCACAGCATGGCTTGATAAGCAGTGCTAGGTCTGCCCCTGGGATCCAAACCAGTGAACCCCAGGCTGCTGAAGCAGAGCATGTGAACTTAACCACTGTGCCACCACCAGGCTGGCCCCTCTTTGAACTTTTAAGCACTTTACCAGTTTAGATCCCTATGGCAGTCTGGGTCCAAAGGCCTTCTCAAACTCCCCAATTTCATTATCACCTAAAAGCACTCACGTTATTTATAAAAGCTTTCTCTAGTCTGGAGGCACACAGATACACCTCTCAAGCTTCTGAAAGTTAAACGGAACCCTGCCATTCACACTTAAAAAAATTGACTTCAAAGAATCATTGAAGTCAGTCAATAATAAAAAGAATATATGCAATGGGGAAAAAACAAACCAGAGCATGTCCTTCCAAAAAAGGAGAAGCAGAGTCTTCTTGTATGAAGGCGCATTGCTTAATTTGCTGCCAACTGCAGAGTTATGTAAGAAACCAGTTATGGTGTTTGCTTTGCCAAATTACCCATAACTCCCAACCTGAAAAGATCTAAACGCATAGATTCTAAAAAAGTTTGGAACGCTGTCAATAGTTTGGTATACATCAATCACCCTGGGGAAACTGCCACATTGATGGTGCCTGGCGATGGGGAGTGTGCGCATGGACGAGCTGCATTTTCCGTGCAGTCTGCAGTGTGTTCTGGAGGCACATGCAGACTTTGGTGCTGGTGGAGTGAGTACGGGAGATGTTGGTGGGGAGGCTAACGGGAAGGGGAGGGGGAGGCAGGAGACACAGAACGGCGTTCCTCTTCTCCAGGGAGCCCAGGATCTTCTCTGAAGTACACTCCGTCCCTGAGCTCCAACCTCTTGCCCCCTCCTTTCTCTTTCTCCTGGGGTCCACTTTGGCAAACAGAGTTCATAGGTGATCAGAGGAGGAAGAAGAGGCTAATTTCACTGTCTTCTTCTCCTCCTCTGTCTCCTTCTTCTTTTAAAAATTGCGACATGAAGCTCCAGTTCAGTCGTGC